TTTAGAAACTTGGAAGATTTTGTTACTCGCAAATAATCTGTCAATTGTTTGTTTATTAATTTATTTTAGAAACTTGGAAGATTTTGTTACTCGCAAATAATTTATCAATTGTTTGTTTATTAATTTATTTTAGAAACTTGGAAGATTTTGTTACTCGCAAATAATCTGTCAATTGTTTGTTTATTAATTTATTTTAGAAACTTGGGAAAGGTTGTTACTCGCAAATAATCTGTCAATTGTTTGTTTATTTGGGAACTTGTAAAATTTTGTTACTTGCAAATCTTTGGATAATCAATCAATTGTTTTTGGAATTGAATAATATCTAGTTTGTTTTATTGCTTTTATTTATTTTATTTTTAGAAAAAAAAATTTTACATTTATTTGACAATTTTGGTAATTTGGATAATTTATATGTCACGTGAATTCACTGTGACGAGATTAGTAGCAATATAGAAAGGCCCCCACAAAAAATTCGTTAACATTGTGGAACGAATTTATTAATAAAATTCGTTATGACAAATATTTTTAATTAATAAAAAAAGGGGCCGATATTTAAATTCGTTGTAACAAGAAATTCACTGTGACGAGGTTCGCTGTGGCGAGGTTTGACTGTATTGCAAGTAAGGCTCTGAACAAATCAATGAAATTCAAACCGATTCGAACTGATTCGAATATATAATTTAATTCGAACAGATTCAAATTCAGATTGATTCGATTTGATTCAAACAGATTTGAATATATAATTTAATTTGAATGGATTCGAATTCAGATTGATTCGATTTGATTCAAACAGATTCAAATATATAATTTGATACAATTCGAACTGATTCAAATATATAATTTGGTTTGAACTGATTTGATTTGATTCAAACTGACTGGTTTGAATCTATAATAATAACTGATTTGAATCCATGATTTGAATCAAATACATTATATATTGTGAGATCAAAATCCATCTCTCACAAATCTCTTGGATTTGGTTAAACTACTATTTTAGTTCATTTTGTGGCAGTATCCAGCAATGTAATCTTTTGATTACTTTCTCTGCTATAGCGTTCGAGTTATTTAATGTATTTACACACTGTGGTGTCTTGGCAGCTAATAGCGCTCTAGCTATTACTCCGTGAGAGGGCAAGTGTCTGACTTCCCTTCCGGTAACGTTTTCTCAGCAGTTGCTATGTTTGCTGCCTGAGCCGGTACGTGTCAATTATTATCTCTTCTGATAATAATCCCAGTATCCTTCCTGATACTGATGTGTTATATTTATATAAAGGGTTCAGTGTTTTAACTGACCGCTCCTAGCTAGGGTCTCCGGATTTAGGCGTTGGCCCAAATCTGAATAAAAATAAAGAAAATAAAGTTAAAAGAAAATGCACACACTATACTTAACAAAGGCGTCCCCCTGGTAAGATAGCTATTAATTAATAATTAATTTAGAGTTGAAGGTTTATGTGGTTTTGGAAGCGGGTGGATGATTCCACTGGCAATAGATTATTTTTAAGAGATAATTATGTTTGTATTTTATTATTATGATATTATGGTTATTACAAGATAATAGTTAAGAATTAACAAACTTATTATTACATGAAAGAGAAATTTACAATGTATTTATACATGTTCAAGGTCCTATCATCTAGTTATCCGACTTCATTGAAATCCTAATTTATATTAATTAATAGATTCTGTAAATATCATTTGAACCTTCTATCTAGAATTATTTTCAAGTAATTTCTTGTCAATATGAGTCATGTAAAATTCTTTCATTTAAATATTATTCTGAGATTTTGTAGTCTGTTACACTTTAGAATGTTAGAATATTTATATCTCCAATATTTGGGTTATTTTCCAAGAGCTATTTATTTGATTGGTGCGCCATATTAATTAGTGTAACATTTATTAAATTGTACTGGTTTATGATAATCATTTCCGAACTTTCACTTCGTAACACACGCAAATCATTTCTGATTTATATGTTCATTTCCTGTGATTTATAATTTACTATTTTACAGTATAATAAATTAAAACTTGGAATCTTGAGAAGCTAAAGATATAAAATTTGTACAATTTTATTTATTTTTTATTTGTCTTAATATGTGGCTTACTTTTTTAACTGGATAAAATCAAAATTAGCCATTGTAGATCATAGTAGATTTGTGTTATGTATACTCTACCCTTAAAATGAATAATAAATCTGATGTTGATCACATGTATCAGGTTTAATTAAATTTTCCTATCTCAAACATGCAACGTTGTGCAATTGAGCACAATTCAGCACCATGGAATTTTTTCCCACAGGTGAAAGCCACCCTGAACAAGTTGGAAGGCTTTGGACAAAACTTTCCACATCTTCCCCTCAGACCAGGTTGGCTGTTACCATATGAGCATTGATTGCTGATGAGGATCAGCATTTGTGTGATGATTGCTTTGTGTTATTCCAACCTGTAAAATAAAATTTGGTGTCTGCAACTGGTATGAAATTCTGAAACTCAGGAGGTTGCAATCTGGGTTGCTGTTTTGGATTTTCCCTGAATCCAGAGTTTTGAGGCCTGGGTTGCTGTCTTGTTGGTGGCATGCCTACTCACCAACAACCCTACCCCCATTTAATAACAAATTCAGTTGGTCAAATAAAAAATCACCAAAAAACAGAGAATTTATGAAATGATTAATTTATACAATACATACCAAACAAAATCTGAACCATTTTATGATTTTTCTCTTGTTGACCATGTTGCTGACAAAGATGTATATAAACATGTGATAATTTTTAATCTATAGGACAGGGGACCGATTGGGCAAAACCCCATTCAGCCCCCTACCCAAAATTATAAAATTGGTAAGTATCAAAGAAACAGAGAATTTAGGGAAATAATTATACAAAACAAACACTATTTTACAATGTTCCTCTTAACATCAGAGCCCAAATGCAATTTCAGGGACACCAACCCTGCTCTGAATTGTAACCTCCTGTGCTTGAAACAAGCTGCAGATTCTCTTAATATTCCTCCAGAGTTGTGACTTCTTGGTCACAGAGCCATCCTTAGAGGTAGGATTGTTGCAGGCAACTTTTCGGCTAACATGTCAGCAGCTTTCTCTGGTTTTGGTGCTGTGAGAGAAGATTAGATAGGATGTCCTTGACAATTGATGCAGTCTCGGTAAATTCCAGGGCATCTTTCCCCCTCCCCAGAATTTGGTTGCATCATTGTATCATCAGGCATGAGTCAGATTAGCCTTGTGTACATGAGGAATGAGTGAATGACTGTAATGTGTTCAAGGTAGCATGCGTGCTTCAACGTCTGCTAATTTCCAATAATCAAATGTCATGTATTGAAATGTTTCATATTTGAATTGTTTCTTTTTTCAATGGTGTGCTGCCTTGACATCTTGTAATTATTTAATGTTAATGTTATTATTAAATATTGATTACGAAAAGCAAAATACCAATTGTTTGTTTACTATTGACAAGAATCTTATAATTACCCAGCAAGATCTGCTCTGCATTTTGATTTCAATTATAATATTTATATAAAAGATATATCAATGCAAATTAAAAAAAGGTGCCTCTGGTTAGTTATTAACATGTCTTCATAACCATACCAAATAACATCACTCGTGTTTGTCATCTTTGAAAAATAAATTGTTTTTCCAAAAAAAAAAAAATCAATCGTGTCAAAAAATAAATCAGTGTATGTGTGCTGTTGATCAATCAACAAATTCTTTATTTTTTTCTTGTTTTAAAATCAAAAATATGCCAGATGACAGGTTACAAAAAAAAAGAAGAAAACTACAAAACGAATTTGGTGCCAGTAAAGGGTAAGTATTGTTTATCATAAGAATGGTGGTGGCAGTTATCACCACCACTTGTCACTAGTTAATATTAAAAATGAGATTCTGATTTTGATTTATATTTACTTTTTAGAAATCATACTTTACTCCAACAAAAGGTAAGAACATTAGAGTCAATGAAAGTTATCCTTCATCTACATATCCCACCTCAAACTTAACTTATCTGTTTGTCCAATCATATATAGGACTCAAATTCATTAAAAGAAGTTGGAATAATTATTATTCTCTTGCATTCCAGCTTATTATTTTTCATTAAATTGGGTAATGACGGTGATGATGAAAATAATAGTGATCAGTTTGACACAGGGTTGGCAAATGTGCAGTCCATTGATGGTCTATTGGTGGTCCATTGGGTCCATTAGTGTAACCCTTTAACCATATTTAGTATTTTATTAATGGCAATGGATCAGTCCAAAATCCATCTGTTCTCAATGGACCAGTCAATTTGCCAACCCTGGTTTGATGATAATAATAATGTCTGCAAGTTTGGTGACAAAGACAAAGAAAATAAAATTAGTGGGGTATGGTGGGGATTCTTATTGCTTAACACTTCATATACTAGTTGACTATTCTAATTGTATATATCTAAATAAACTGTTCTTAGAATGTAAATAATGAAATTGTTTGTAAAAAAAAATATGTTTTACAATGGAACGTTGAAGAAGATTCCAAAAAACCAAAAAACGTATGTATCAGATGTATAATGTTAATTAATTTGCTATGCTTATTGAGAAGTTAACAAAAACTAATGTCTATTCAGGTATGGGGCACGCAAGAATTCGATATTAGCAACATTTTTATGATCTACAAAATGGCAGCTGTTGATAAAGCAAAGAAACATACATTGTCATATATTAATACCATAGGAGAAATACTGTAAGTTTACAGACATTCTGGTGTTAGTGTTGCCCTATTATTGTGAGGAAAGCTTATTTATCTATTTTTTTCAATTTGTAGTGCTCTGAGTTCCATCTTATTGATGGAGGAAAACTCATTTCGTGGAATGACCAGCTTGCCACAGGATATTTACCAGATAATGAGAAGGAAATTTGGAAAGAAAAGTTTACCAAAAGAAGTAATTGAATTGTGTCAACGCTGTGCTATAGTTGGTTGGGAAAATTCAAAAACTGATTTAGAGAATGAAATTGATGAGGCATATATGGGGCGCGGAAAATAGAAACAGCCCTAACTACCAAAATTGTGATTTTGAGTTAATGACATTTTTATATGTAAT